AGTAGTATTGAGAATTAGTGGTAATTGAGAATTAGTGGTAATTGAGAATTAGTGGTAATTGTTAATTAGTGGTAAGTGTTAATTAGTTGTAATTGAGAATTAGTGGTAATTGTTAATTAGTTGCAATTGAGAATTAGTTGCAATTGAGAATTAGTGGTAATTGTTAATTAGTTGTAATTGTTAATTAGTTGTAATTGAGAATTAGTGGTAATTGTTAATTGTAATTGAGAATTAGTTGTAATTGAGAATTAGTGGTAATTGTTAAGTAGTGGTAATTGAGAATTAGTGGTAATTGTTAATTAGTGGTAAATGAGAATTAGTGGTAATTGTTAATTAGTAGTAATTGAGAATTAGTGGTAATTGAGAATTAGTGGTAATTGTTAATTAGTTGTAATTGAGTATTAGTGGTAATTGAGAATTAGTGGTAATTGTTAATTAGTGGTAATTGAGAATTAGTGGTAATTGAGAATTAGTGGTAATTGTTAATTAGTTGTAATTGAGAATTAGTGGTAATTGTTAATTAGTTGTTAATCAAAGTGTGCTAACTAAAGCTGACAGATCCATTACATCCGACACACCAGCATGGAATGGAAGTCAGTGCTGCAATATAATGAGTGTTGCTTTTCCCATAGTCTCATTGCCAGGTTTCTTTCTTATTTGTAGGAGGCTTGAATCATGGCTTGTGTGCAGGTAACAATAGAGATTGATACACCATAGTCAACATCATAGTCGGGGCAGTTAATGGAAATATGGCAGCAAATGGTTGCACTAGATGTGCCACAATACAAGCTATATTAGTTTTTGGAACTGATTACTGCTGTCACTCTACTTTAATATCAACAAGTCCTGTAGAAATAAATGTGACATTTTGTTTCTTATTCTTCAGAGTTCGATATTGTTGGAATGGCAGAATATAGATGGTTTGCCATGTTGTCTGACTACGTGGGCTCATTTTCTTCTTTCTGGTCAAATGGTCCAAAAACTGCTCGCAAAACGTTTCAGTTGCACTAAAATTCAGATTTACCTGAACATTTTGTTGATTGCCAATTCCAAATGTACGCTGAATTATCTCATTAAATTTGCATATTACCAAGAAAATTAGGCTTTCTTCAGCACGGGCAATTACCGGCAGAACAAATTAGAGTTATCATATACTATAAGCCCACTAAATTTAAACTGAAGAGTATGACGTATTCATATATAATTATGGCAATGCAATTTCTTTATAACATATATCCGAAGTAAAATTGTATATAAACAATTTCAGGTAAACGACCATAATAACGCACAACGTGGGATTCGAACTCGCACATATGACGTGGCGCCTCTCCAATGTAGGTCACCGAGAGAATCACTAAACTATATGAATACCAAAAATCAGCGTATAAATAAAAAAGAAATACAGTCTCTTATTATGGATTATGTTATACTAAACATTTGTTATAAAATTATATCATATATATAATTGAAAATTGCGAATTTATTGCGAATGATTTTATTAAAATAACATGACAATGTATTTGTTTATGATAAATCACTTATTTATTTAATTATTTTGAACCACACTTATATTACGTACATATAATATTCTAAATCAATAAATTACTTGTAGATTAATTAGAGGTAATTGAAAGTGTGACGCAAAAGCATAAATATAATTGTTGTTTACGCCTTGTCGATGAGCTATTTGTCTTTGAGACTTGTTAGATTTTCACATTGATGGACGACCTTTATATTGCTAGCAATTTTGGAGAACGAGTATACGAATATTCTCGTTATAACATAATTCAGGGTGACTGCGAATAACGAATATAATTGTTGATAACCCTGTATTATAATGTAATTTGAGTAGTCAGCGTAGCGATCTTTCACCAGATGTGAGCCTGTCACCTCCGCGAACAAATGCATCTGTTGGAAGGAGCTTGACTGTATGGGAAACTCTGCATACATTGAATAGCACTAAGTGTAAGTATAGTTAAGTGTAGTCAAACTGAGAATTAATTAGGAAAAAGTGAAAAAAGGAGACTTAAGCTGGAGGCGACTTAAGTTAGACTTTTTGCGACACTTCAGATTAATAGCAGTTTATGAGTAGTTCTTGTATTTGTGTATGTTACAATTCCATTGACTTAAAGACTCACTTAAAGTTAGACTGTTCTACCGTTGGTGAAAGTAACATAGCAATGCTGTGGATATCCCTGGGAACAATTCAGTACGAGCTATCAAACAGCAAGAAGGAAGGAAGGAAGAAAGAAAGAAAGAAGAGAGAAGGCCATAAAACCATTATGGACACAGTAACGACAGAAGTGAACTCTGCGTTGGATCTATACAGTGGACATTGACGCTCATTGATCTGAGACTTGTATTGTAAATAAAATACACGTTTTGTTATAGAAACAGAATGCCATTATGTGTTATGTAGGTGATACAACCATTGACATTGATTATATTGTCTCATCATTAAAACTGTTTATACTTATGTTTACTTTATTACGAGTATATCGCTTGAATGACCTTACAATATCGGATTTATAAAACGAGTGTAATATTTTTCATTTGTTTTGAGCCTTTGACCCTATAAAATCAAAGATGGCGCTCATGATAGCCATATAACCTATACACACCCTTGTACCTACCCAATACTTTTTATATTGATTAAAGTATAACATATGTGTTATTAAATCAATTAACATTTTACAATTTATATTGAATAACAAAATTATATTTGGCAAAAATACAAAATAAATACTATATAAAACTAACTAGACAAACATGTTTCAACAAACAGCTGAAATTAAACAGCTGAAGTTAAATCAGCTTTATTTTGATATATAACACTCTGTGCTTATTACAAACTAAAGGTTTAAACCAATAATACAGACACCATGTTTCTGTGAGTGCAGACACATATGCCAGTTTGCTTGGACAATCAAACATGTGTATTATTTTCAGGTGTTTGTACGTGTTGTCTGGCAGCAATTTCACCAAAGCCAGAGCGGTCTATCTGGGTGCAGTATCTCGGTGCGCCGTCTTTCAAAAGTGTCCTATTTCTGCGATTTGCATAGTCAATGACGTACCTTCCTTTATCTAAACACTCCAAAAGCACTTTCTGTAACATATCTCGAAATATCTTCAAGTCTTCATAAAAATTATCACCGTACGCCTTAACCTTATGCCAGAATGTTTCGTTGAAGTGTTGATACAGTTTATAATCAGCGCTGTTTATTTCTAATATTCGTTGTCGTTTCCAGTCGTCAATTTTAAATCGTAGTTTGTCGCTTCTCGTATTCTGATGTACATATAAAATGTCTCCAAATTCCCAGCATAAAAGCTGCTTCAACAAAATTAGAGATTCATCAAAATACTCAGCAATCATCACCAAATCAAAATCCTTTGCTGCTTGTTGTATCACGTGATCCACGAGTGTTTCATTGTCATAGTTTTTAGGTTCAAGTCCGATGTCAAACATTTGTCTATTTTTCAGTAATGTCATGTAGTATGGATTCTTAGTAAGTTTAACATACATGTCTGTATCTGACAGAAACATTTTGAATGGATCTTCATTGGCAGCGTAATGTATGTGAAGAATGCGAGGAATTTTAAAAAATCCAAAAATAGACTCATATGCAGCTACAGGATGACGTAATATTGTTATAAACGTAGCATTTGGAATCACGTTGTTGATTGCCGTTTTGTTGAATGGAACATGGCTAACTAACATACTGTATCGGGAGCCTGGAAGTGGTGGGGACAGGTGTTTTTGCATTTCACTGTTGAAGCGTTCTGTTCTCGAGAAATAACCTGGATTATGGTGTGCGGGAATGACAAACGACAGGTTGTGACTGAGTCCAAAACGTATTAATATTGATGAAACTGTTGTACTCCCTGTCTTGTATGTCTTCAAGAATACCACCTTTGTTATAGGGGCTTTACACGCTTCATACTTCTGGCAACTGGACACTCGGGAGCCTTCTATTGAAGTGGTGTTGATATTTAACCTGTGTACAAAATGAAAGAAATTCACCAATATATAATATCTTTTTATATGACGACTTCACTTAAAGCATAAACGCTATGTAGGTGTCTAGAGGGTTCCGTCTATTGAAATCTAATTTTGTCAACTAAACCTCGTGTTTATAGAATAAGATGAAAACTTATCGGATACCAAGGGTGAAATCATGTAAAGTATCGGCTTCTCACCGACGATTTTATGTGTCACTTGCCATGATAGTGTACGATGGCGACTACTAGACCGTTAGTTTTCACACCGCATTGTATCTGATATAGCCCTGTATAGGGTCTATTTTGTTCAAGCGTCAGAAGGGAAGATGTATCAGGTGAAGACATCCATACATGGCATTCTCCCTAAACCAAATACAAAAACAAAATGATTGACATTTCCTAAAGTTTAATAGGCTAGTAGACTGAATGAGTAAAAGTTGAAAATAGTTATTTTAGTCGTATCGCCATCACTGAAACCAGCAAAAGTGAAAAAATGCACCCCCAAAATAGTTACTCTTATTATGCAGGTATATAATACAATTCTGCTATACCTCCATGCTTGCATTGACAAATAGAAAATTAATTAGATGATGTTACATTTACTTTCTTTTTTTAATACCTAATATTTGTAATCAGTTACCCCTGGAAAACGTAGATTACGTTATCTCAGTGGTGTTTGAAACCTTTTTGTTAACAAAACTTTGGAAAACTATTATAACATTGGTGGAGGCATGCATGTACGTATGTGGCTAGTCCCTGGGACAGACAGTGGTGGTTATTATCTAAGTATGTGATACGCTCATTGTATATTAGATACTAACGAAAAACTCAACACTGTAACACAATTGTAAACATTCAATTCACTTGTATTCTGTTAAACATATTCCTACACAGATTACACGTGTGTTGTTGATTTGAAGATAGTTCTTTTCAAGTTTACTTCCTCTGCCCCACGAAAAAAAATTAACGATAAAGTCTGTAAAACATGATTTTTTATGACAATAAGTATATATTAATAATTGAATTGGGCGGTTTATTGTATCACCGTAATATAATATTTCCATAAATAAATTTGTAGCTAGTACTGCGGGTACCTTATTACAAACAGCTACCCACGGCATACGAGTTATTATCAGTTTGTTGTAAAACCGGCTGTATGCACAAAAGAAAGTGAGTGAACAACTGTTTCTATCTACACGAATTGTCTGGATGCGTCTTATCGGAGGCGATTCCAGGCATACGTATGCCTATTCATGCCCGGGCAGTAGTCAAATTGTCCAGAAAGTACCAGAGGCAATACCTGCGTCGATGTTACTTGTACAGTTTCACTTCAAGTCGTTGAGACGTATACGTGCACCAGTTAGTGTATTGTTAGGCAATTAAACAGGTGGTAGAAATGTAAAAAAATATTTACTATATACTCACCGAAAATTGGTCGAGTTAGTCGCCTCCAATTTTGCCCAACCCTTTATAGGATATGTTTCGATTAAGTTTCCATATTTCAAAACTGTTACAACTAAAACAAAAACAAAAACAGTAGATATTACGTGACATAATCGTTTCATAGTTGAGTTTGCCACATCGACTGCCAGTGTATGTAGCTGTTAAGGTGTACATGAATGCATGTGCTAATAATAGTCAAACACGTGAGAACAAAAGTGTTCAATAGCGGGCGTGTTCCAAACCATCGTGTAACTTGCAACTTTGTTTTTGAGACAGCAAACTGTGTTGAAAGTAACTATACGTTTTTTCTTTAACGTGGATAATGTAGAGGCACGTTGATATTTAACTATATTACTATTGCTCAAAATTGTACGAGAAGTCTGGTAGGCGGTGTGTCAGAAAAAATGCACTGTGTCATACCCGTCTTTTTTATAGTTCTTTAGCGAAATTTCTCATTTATAGCGGAAAAAACGCAACCGTGAAGCGGAAACGCAATCATTTTTCGTCGGTGGTGGCGTTGTTAAATATTTCTTACAAATCCAATGTTTACGTATCTTATTTTATTAATTATTATTACTAATATCTAGTTACAGATAGTAAAGCGGGCGTGTAACTTGCACATTTATATCACATTTACATTATTTCACAAATTTTCAAAGCAGAATTTATACCTGATGTAACAGTTTTGCCTAACGCCCTCAATCGATCGCAATAGCAGTTCAAATAGAAAATATAACAACGAAGTAGACAATAGTATTCTTTCTTTCAAATATCATCTGCATATTATGAAAATATGGTAGTTTCTAATTGGTTTAGTCTGGTTATTGCAGAAATAGATCCTAGTTACGCGAATTAAGTCACTGGTTAGTCCATGAGCATGCAAGGAATACAAGTATTTTTTTTCCGATCTACACATTATTTCCTATTTTTGGCTATTTTCAGTCATTTTTTTTATTTTTATTTAATTTAACTTTATTCATTTTTTTTATTTTCAAATAAACCAAAAAAAGGCTTGTAAGCAAATTCATATCATGAATTACCTGTAAAAGGAAACCATACTTGAGTTTAAAAAACGAAATACTTTTACGCAACGACCTACTTTCCTCTGAGGGCGCTTTACCTTACAAAACAGCTGATGGGACAACGCTCAGGGCATGGGATCCTATCATATATGATAGGTATCTAGACTCTCCGATAATGGGACACGATCAAACATAGATCTGTGGACCAAAGTGCAAACGCAGTGCACGTTGTCTACAACCGGTAACACCTTTGTGGACAACATCAGACAGGAGCAATGATTTCCGTGGACGCGATGGAGTGGTTTGCGCTAATCGAACACGTTATTTTGACGGTGTTTATGATCAGTCTAGTCAGTGTATTTGTATCCGAAGGATGGCCAGGAATTGCGAGAATAACGTTGATATTTCTGAAGACCTTACCTGGCTTTCAACACACGGTCGACATGTTTGTTAAGCGCGAAGTGAATGATTTCGTTAAGCAGTTACGCGAAGAAGGCGGCAAGTCAAAAAAAGAACTCGAGAAGACACCGCCAAGAGTTACTCTGCCCGAGAAAGGTACGTGTTGAACTGTACAAGGTGGACAGTTTTCAGAGATCGTGTAAAGAAACAGAAACGTATCTTCCGGCATTGTTGCGTTACGATAGTTTGTTAACAGATCGGTTGGCTGCCGAAGTCCACCAGGAAATGATGACATAAATGGTTACATATGTGAGTTTGCTACTACGATTCATGAAATTAACCTGACACAGTTTCATCAATATTTCCTGCCACGTCGGCAGCCAACCGAATACTTGAAACGTTAAGTCTCTATAGTCCATGCCGTTTCCTAGTAGAACACGTTCGTTGACCTCCATTTTGATTATCATTCGGTCATCGTCTGACGTGTTGCTTACTTGGACTCGTGGGCAAGGTCAATCACAGCAGGAATGTACATGACTGTTATCTCTGGATGGGATATACCAATCAGCGAAATAGGAGCTTGACTCGTTGACCTTTGAACCCTAGTCGACTTGCATTAAAAAAAATCGAGGTGGTGAGGAAAATTGCAGCAGGAAGAATTGGGAACAAAATTGTTAATTAAATAGCAAAATATAATAAAATAGAAGACCATTTTTTTATTGCCCCACT